AATAAAAAATAGATCGGAAACAATATTTGACGACGATATATTAAACAAACCGCAGCAAATTATATAATATTTATGTGATTGTATTTCATGTATATCTAATACTTAATACCTAGGTATATACTATATTATATACCTGCTATATAAATAAAAACAGTTTCTATTTTTGACAATTTTATTATTAATGGTAAATTATACAACAATAAAGACCAACATTCGGGATTCTATGCATTTATATGTTTCTTTTGAAAGTATACCTAAATAAGAGAAATCTGATTTAATTATTCCGAGATATTTATAGCTTTCAAATTCACAAATGAAAATTTTTTTTGCATAATTTTGTATGTTTAGTTCTGTAGTCRTATATTAAATGATGTGCAGTTAATCTTTGGAAAAAAACATTCCAAACAATATGAAAAATATATTCATAATGCGATACACAAATATTATCTATTTATTTTCGGTGATATAAATCTACCATAAAAAAATTTAAAGTCATAATATTTTTAACCGATTTTTTCAACTTTTATATTATTATTACATATTTCAAATTTTTAAAGAGCATAATACGTATGCTATGCATCATGTAAATCGGACGTAAAAAACGATAAATCGCGCACGAGACGACCATGTTTATTCTTATACAAATCAATGGCGAGGTGAACATTATAGCATTCTCAAAACTTCCGCAGGCGTGAACCCCGACGAACTCCGCGGATCGAAAACCGGAGTRTTYGTGGGCACATTTCAAAGTGAGACGGACGACTACTGGGGACGAGTGCAGGAGCGCGTGAACGGTTACGGGCTCACCGGATGTTGTCGAGCCATGTTCCCCAACCGGATATCGTACACATTCGATTTCAACGGGCCCAGTTACGCGGTGGACACAGCCTGTTCGGGCAGCCTGTTCGCCTTGTCGCAAGCATTACACGCCATACGTAGCGGACAGTGCGAGGCGGCCGTGGTGGGCGGCGTCAACCTGTTGCTCAAGCCAACCAACTCKTTGCAGTTTCACAAGTTGAGCATGTTGTCATCTAAAGGGATGTGCCAAGCTTTCGACGCGTCCGGTATGTATTTTTATCGTCATAAGCACGGAAAGGATTTATATTGTATTATTGGTATGTTGTTTGTTGTTTTTTTGGGTGTGCTAAAAAATAGTTTTGACACTTTTTTTTTATTAGAAAAACCGTTTAACACCATATTGCTATTCGGACCTGAGTTTTGACACCCTAGCTATAGGTTAAGTTTTAAAACCACATCTATTAAGTACCCCAATTTTTCTATAATATTAAAAAAAAAATGAATTATACCAACTTAGAACTAAAATAATGAATACAACAATAAATATCTGCCTAAAAGTAATTATAGAGTTAATATTTAAAATAACTAAGTAGGTAGGTAGTAACTATAGTAAGTATAGTAATAAATTATATTCTTAAAATTAAGTAGGTAATTTTCAACCGATATAGTTTGAAAAAGTAGCAGTATTGTGTCGTAATCTGGTAATCTTATGGCATAGATAGGTATATAATATAAAATAATTTTATATTTATTACTTAGATCGTATAAATAATATTTTACCAAACATRATAAAGACTTCAAAACGAATGAATAAAATATGATATAGGTACTATAAATAAAATACAAAGATAAGAACTTCCGATTTTGAAAAAAAAAAACAACATTAAATTAGACTAATAAGTAATAATTGTATACTCAGTAAAAATCTTTCTACCTACGATTGAAAATATGTAGACATAWTTCAAGTGTTTGAGAATTATTTGAGGTCAATGCACGTCGGCGAGCATATAACAATTTATCGAAACAACGTTATTACTTTATTAGCAACAATCATTCGCTCATACTTGATAGTTTTTAACAGGAAACGGATACGTGCGAAGCGAAGCTGTAGTGACAGTGTTTTTGCAAAAGGCCAGTATAGCCAAACGGAGTTACGCCACGGTAGTAGAAGCTCTGACCAACAACGACGGATTCAAAGACCAGGGGATAACTTTTCCTAGCGGAGCCATGCAAAATAAACTCATTCAAGAAGTGTAYGCCAAATGTGGTGTAAATCCAGCTGAGGTGTCTTACGTAGAAGCTCACGGGACGGGAACCAAAGTATGATGGTTTAAATTTGAGATGAATTATTATTATTGACGTTTATTTTATTTTATGCGAAATTAGGTCGGTGATCCGCAAGAAGTCAATTCTATCGCTGATTTTTTTACTAAAGATCGTACCTCTCCACTATTGATCGGTTCCGTCAAATCGAACATGGGTCATTCTGAACCCGCTTCTGGCCTCTGTTCATTGGCAAAAATCGTCATTTCTATGGAAAACGGTAAAATTCCTGCGAATCTTCACTTTGCCAACCCGAACCCTGACATTCCAGCTCTGTTAAACGGAAAATTACAAGTGAATTGCAATTCATTCAATAAATTATAACTGTTTTAAAAAAACGTTTTTTCACGTTTTTTCACGTTTTTTCACATTTTAATCACATGCATTCACAGGTTGTGAACAAAAACTGGGAGTTTAACGGTGGCTATGTGGCTCTCAACTCTTTTGGTTTTGGTGGTGCCAACGCTCACGTGTTGTTGAAGTCTAATTCCAAAACTAAAACCACTCAAATCATAAACCATGTGCCACGTTTGATTACCGTATCTGGAAGAACGGAAGAAGCAGTGAACAATATGTTGAAAAATGTGCATTACTAATAGACTTCATAAATTTATTATTATATTATAGTTATCAATTAAATACGTTTTTGTTGTTAGATTACTGAAACGCCATTAGACGATGAATTCGTTTCTTTGTTACACGATATCCATGCTAGTAACATTAACGGACACGGTTATAGAGGATATTCAATCCTAGGAAAATCTATTTCTGAAGTGACTGTAAGTTGTTTTATTTTAACTTTCAAGTTCTTTTGTTTTTGATAAATTTTTTAATTACTATCGAGTTAGTGAAATTTGTTTATAGACTTTAATACAGTGTATTTAATCGATTGATATTAAATTAAAAATGATCTTTTAATGGTTGTAGGAATTAAGATCATATAAAAGACCAGTGTGGTTTGTTTTTTCCGGAATGGGGAGCCAATGGGCTGGTATGATCGAAGGACTGCTTCAATTGGAACCTTTTGCCAAAGCCATCAACAGAGCAGCTACTGTCCTCCAAGCTGAAGG